GATGATGGATGGATGGAAGGATGGATGGATGGATGGATGGATGGATGGATGGATGGATGGATGGATGATGGATGGATGGATGGATGTTTGTGTCAGACTGCAGCAGAAACAGTAGAAGAAGAAACAGGTCAAATGGCGCCATCTATGGACGGAAACATGGCTCTGCTCCTCCCCGCAGCGACTCACCGTTTCTCCGCTGCCAAACAAACCGGAGGCCGGAACTGCTGGTTGTCCCTGGAAAAGGACAAAACAACCCGTGAAGATGTCTGACATGGAGGATGATTTCATGTGCGACGATGAGGAAGATTACGACCTGGTATTTAGAGCAAAGGAGATTTATATGTTTGTACATTTCACTGATTAGTCCGCTGAACGCTAACAGCGGAGTGCCGACAGCCCAGGCTACTTTAGCTAATGCTAACAGCTAGCTAACAGGTTGTCAGTGGATACATATTGTTAGCTTTCTAGCTTGCTATTAGCTATAGTTCAGCCGAGACGCATCAGTAAATCAGACCTGTGTGGAGGCTGTTTTACCTGCTTTTATAAGATTTAAAACAGTATGAAAGGACGGGATGTTAGCTAGCTAAACATTAGCTCCTGTCATGTTCCTGCAGGTTAGCATGCCTCCTGCCATCTCCTTTGCGTTAGCCTGCTGAGTTTTTCTTCTGAAATCAGTTGTGTGGTGTAGATTGTAATGCTGTCGTGTTTGCAAACTAAGGAGTACTCAGAGGACAGTAACTCGGAGCCCAACGTGGACCTGGAGAACCAGTACTACAACTCCAAAGCCCTGAAGGAGGACGATCCCAAAGCAGCACTCAGCAGCTTCCAGAAGGTGGCGCTGTGGTCCATGACGGCAGGCTGTGCTGCCTGAGGGCTTCAGGTGTTTACTGATGTTTCTTCTGTCCAGGTGTTGGAGCTGGAGGGAGAGAAAGGTGAATGGGGCTTTAAAGCTCTCAAACAGATGATTAAGATAAACTTTAAATTGGTAAGTTTTGTAACGAGACAGTCTCTATCTAATTAAAGATGTATCTTCTTACAGCAGAGGTTTTGTTTTGTTTTTCAACCCTGCAGACCAACTTCCCAGAGATGATGAACCGGTACAAGCAGCTCCTCACTTACATCCGAAGTGCTGTCACCAGGAACTACTCTGAAAAGTCCATCAACTCTATTCTGGACTACATATCTACCTCCAAACAGGTACGGATTAAAACCAGGAGACCCTCTCTGTGTCCCTGCAGCTCGCTTTAAACCTCTGGGATCCATGTTGGACCAGCAGGAAGTCAGTCTGAATGTGCAGAATCTGAAACTGAATTTAAAGTTTTGTATCTGAATTAATTTTCTTTGAAACTGTATTTTGGTTTATTAAAAATTCAGTTTGACTACTTTCACTTTCAGTTCCATAATTCAGATTTTTGTGTCACATCCTGGTCCTTGAGAAAGCCAGGCAGAGTAATCAAACACAGATCCACAGATTTATGTTTCACTTCTGGATGTAACAGAGTTGATGCAATCCACTGTAAAAGTGACAAAAACAGACACAATCACACATTGATCAGATGCTGCTGCTGACTGATCCATGATGTGATGTAAATGTAACATTTTCTACATACAGGTCAAATTAATCACTGCAATAA